GAAGCATGAACTGCCACCAACGGACCTCAATGCGCTTTGACGGAACTCAATCGAGCACTTGAGCGCGACACTACACTTCATAGATGTTATGTTCGGAGTGTAGATCTCCTTGCGTTACCAAAGTCTAAAATTTGTATACTTGCTTTTGGGACACCCTATAACACAGGTGAATGTTGCCAAAGAAAACCGTCCTAATGACGGCGAATCATTGACGCTAGAAATCTGTGCAGGTCGCAAGTGCAGACTCTGACATCCCGCCAACGGCATTTTTGAGTTTTCATTTTTTGCTTTTTCGTACGTCATGTGCATCGTCTTTTACTTTTCTCTCTTTGACTGTAGACTGTTTTGGTTTGGCTGTAAAATTGCCGTTTTCAGCCATGCTTCCGCAAGTGCTTGCGAGGACTGCTGTTCGATGCGCTAGAAATTTGGAGACGTTCCGAGTAGTCGTCACGCAAGGATCTGCACGAGCATCTTCTACTATAGTGGCTCAAGAATCTTCATAGTGAGTATAACGCTTCTTTTCCATGTTTTGAACGATCATTTACCCCTTTTACCGAGTCGTGCTGATTGATCTGATCACTGTAAAATATGGGGTAGAGCAGCATTTGAAACGCTTTGCGTGTGTTGCGTTATCAACATTTTTGGAATACCAGAACAACAACGCTTCATAAAGTGGCAATTTTGTAATGAAACTAAACTATAATCTTCGAGATGTGTAGAATTTTCGTCAAAATTTTCGTTTACCAATCAGTGTCGTCGCTAATCATTCTAGTAATCCTGATGCTGAGATGATAGCGCACGAGCAAAGTCTTCCGCCACAACTACAAGAGACGGATTATGAAAAGCAGCTGGAAGCACTGAAGCCATCAGAAAATGTTTGGAAATTGGCACCATTCAAGCATCATAAGAAAATGAGAGATATCATCAACGAGCTGGAGGTAAGTCTTGCTTGGAAACGACAAGATGAATTTCTAGATTCAGATGATTTTGGTAGCTGAAGCCCCAAAACTTGTTTACAGATCTACGCATACATGGGGACCTATGTTCCGCAGTCTTTGTCTGATGATGACTGGTATCGGTAAGTGGAAAAAGTTTGGCTCACGTTTGAAACAGGTAT